TGTCCAGCTACATCTTAATCCCTGGGAGTCTTTTAGAAGCCAAAGCTCTTGATTCCAAAATGCACGAGGAACAGGGTTTCAAAAAAACCCACTTCAGGTGTTTTAATTAACATTTTAATCTCTCAAAATCAGCTTTCTCCCAGACTCCCAGTCCTGTCAAAGCTCTGAATGTGGATTTCCATGCCATTTACTGGCAGATGCACGTGGTGGGACACGAATAGGTGATCACCCTGTAAATCCAGTTCATGGTTGGCACTTGTTAAACACACAATGCAGGAGGAGTTGGACAAGAGGAGGAGGCAGATTCTGCAGGCTGGATTTAAAAGCTACTAATGAAAACAAATCACAGCGGGCAGCCACTTTGACGAAGGTTTTCTGTGCAGCATGTTCAAGGAAGAAAGAGCAGGATTTGCTCAAGCAGCAAACACAAGCCTAACGTGTACCTTTCTGGCTTCTCCAGCAGATAACCTCCTAGCTGGGGTTTTTAAATGCTTCTGGAGATCCAAGGCCTTTGCTATGCTGTGGGGAATGGAAAAGAAAAACGCTGAAATGCCCATCCCTGGTTCCTAACGCTGTGGTCAGAGGTACTGAGGAACCAAAGTTTAGCATACCCATTTTGGCTGATAAGCAACATCGTGGGCTAGTTGGTGATTTTACTCCTAGCTCGGATGGTAAATTGAGAAATTTCTGCAGGACCTTAAGACAGTATTGCAGCTAATGAGAGAAGTGAGTTACTCATGCAACTGGCCATAAACTGGAGCAAGTTGAATCTTTTTTCTGAAGTTTTCTAGATAAAATAGGGCTAAAATCTTTATTGACTGAGAACAGTATAAAGCAGCAGATTGCATCAGAAGGGAGATCCCATTTCTCCAAATTAGAGGCATTGAAGGCACTGTCTCTCAATCACACTAGCCAGGTATGTTAGCAGAGAAGCCTTTCCTTCCCCTACGCCCCTGGAGAGAGGAAGAACCCAAAGCTGAAACCATTTGGCTACGTACCGGCTGATGACAACAGCAGCATCCCCTTTGCTCATCCCTCTCACGGCAGCGTACGCCTCCAGATGTTGCTGCACCCCAAGGTCCGGCCAGAGCGGGTTGCGCTGGGGGCAGCACCCGGCTCCATCGCTGCCCCTGAGCAGCACCTGCACAAACACACGTGCCTCCATGGCTGTTGTTCTGGGGTGACTCAATGAACCCCCCTGGAAAGACGGTAATGTTTTCTCCTGGAGGAACCTCATCAGAACGTGGGTAAAGACGGCCGGTGTTGCTGGGGTGATCATCTACTTCTGCTCACCCGGATCCAAGACAGCGTTTTCACAAAGCCAAACAGTATTTACTGGCATAAAACTTTTGGTAATAGTAACAACATATCATTTTCCTAGTAATACCTTTCTATTTCAAACATTCAGTCCCAAATCTGTAACAGCAATGGTATTTCCCCGCCCCCAGGACATGTGATTAATCATCCTGCGCATAATTAAGTGATGGACTATTACTAGCCCAACCACATTCGCATTTGTTTTCAATTTCCTGCTTTTGCAAGGCTGTTTATGAAGGGTGGTGGTGGTTTGTTTTGGGTTGTTCTTTTTCTTAGTTGTCAACATTTCTTACAAGTCTTGTGAAATTTTGTGATAGGTTTCAAACGCACACTGAGGATTTTGTGTAGCTCAAACCCTGAAACTACTAACATTGATTTTGATGAAAACTGGAACTAGCTTTGAATAAATCAACTCTTCTGTGGACTTACAGAAACTGTTGGGTTGGAAGGGACCTTTAAAGGTCATCTAGTTCTTACTTCTGTAAGTATCCAGGGCAGTATGTACATAAATTCCCTGACTTATGGGCTGCATTGCCAGCTTGCCTTATCACATCCTTAATTTGTAAAGCCATCAAGGTCATCCCCCCTCAGCTGCTCCAAAGGAATCACCTACCTCACCAGCTGTCGCCGTGATGTCTCCAGAAATCATGTGTATGGTCGTGGTTTTTCCAGCTCCGTTGGATCCTAGCAGACCTAATACTTCTCCTGGAACAAATATGTAAGAACTGTTAATTATTGTTAATAAGATCTTCTTTCCTGCATGCTAGGCAATATCTGAAAGTACATGAGAAGAAAGGGTGAAATTAAAACTGTGAAGGCAGGAGCTGGGTGTCTTGGCCACACGCGAGAAAATTCTAACAAAAATATGGTCTACAACTCTGACCTTCACATTAGATTTCAGTCATTTATAGGGAGTGCGGCAAAATACTCAAACCTTTTTTAACACTAAATGAGAGGTTTTTGATAGCAGTTTTCTTCTTTTTCTTAAAGATGGAACTGGCTTTCTTGTCTTCATATTCCTTGCGCAAACAGTTGACGACTATAACTGACTCCTGTGAAGAGATGAAGTGGGAAATAAAAATCTCTTCTTTTACCCCACGAGGCACCTCATCTGTTCTGATCATAAAGTATGACTCTTTAAAGAGAAAAATTCTGAATTAAAAGTCCAGAAAACAGCAACAGGAAAAAAAAAAAGCAAAAAAAAAAGCAGAATGGGAATAAAACTACAGTGCCAGCTAAACTCCTTCTGGTGCCAGGGCTGGAGGAGAGATGTGTACTTGGACCTCAGATCAGTAAATACTAAATGCATGAGCTAAGAAAGTAGAGACAGACCCAGAGATGGAGAAGGAAAAAGAAATCAAGCCCGAAGGCTGGTTTCACCTCCTCCTGCTGCAGGGATGCAATCACGCTCCTCGTCCGCTCCCTTTCTGCCTGGACCTCTGGGGACTCTTCCCCTGGGTGGTCCCTGTTCTGGTGGGCGACCGCTCTCCTCTGCTGGATCCTACCATGGAGGGGGAGAGGTGGTGTCATCAGGAATCACTTCCAAAAAGGCTTGACTTTGCAAGTTTGTTCCCAGGGCAGCGCCAACGCGACGCTCCGCAAAACTTATTTAAATTCAGGGAGCTGTTCCACAGACAGTGTTTGCTCAAATATTTATTCATGGGGCGGGGGGAAAAAACCAAAACCCACCAAGTCCCACTAGCACGCATGAGAAAATCCTTCATCGGTAAGTATTGACTGGTTCCCTGCATGACACATGTCAATGATCTGCTCAAGGAGAATTAAAATACAAGGAGTGTGTTTTCAAAGATATTTGGGCATCTAACTCGTAAGCAAGTCACATCTGTTAATGTCTGACAATTCAATATTTTAACAAATGGAAAAGAAGTTTAAGTCACATTTGTTGTTCTCTTTAGGACGTTGCAGTTCAATTGACCTTCTGCTGCAACACGCTGGGTGGGAATTTGCCTCCAGACACAATTCAGGGAAACACCAGTAAGTAAAGGTGAAAACTGTAATGACCCAAAGGAATAAAAAAATTCTTTCCTTTATTCTCAGTTTCCTCCTCTCTGGTTAAACTGGTTAAAAACTGAAACCATGAGCTTTATCACACTTTGCAAAACGTTTTTAAGCTCACTTTTCTGGTCAGGGTCCTGCCTGGCCCCCCCGCAGCCCCGGACACACCTGAAGATGGGATCAAGGTTCAGAACTGCTTCTCCATATCTCATCTCCAAACAGCGCAGGATGAAAGCGAAAATCACACAATGGATGAAAGGCTGAAAAGCGAAAATTAATTAGGTTTGTAGGGAGAAAAGCTAACAAGCTGCTCGATTAGTTTTAATCATAAAGGGGTGCAAGCAGGTGTGCTTTGGCTATTGGAAAAGTCCAAAGGGGAAGGAGTAAAATTGATGTTCTGCATACATTTCCATCTCACAGGCAGATCATTTGCACCAGCCTTGACTTCATACTGGAGTTTTAGCTCAGGGATCTGCACCCCTGCAGGCAGGTCCCACAAGATTCAAGATTGCATCTTCCTTTTGCAGCAGCAGCATTACATTGTGTAGTTGATTAATAATATCTCTGCCTTATATATGAGCTCCATGTAACCCTCCTATTTTTGCACGTAATGGTGCAGCATCCAGGAGCCACATGAGACACAGGCCCATGATTACTTGGATGTACCTCCCCTGCAATATTTAATGCAAAGCTTCGACCACAAAACCCATGGTTTGTTTATAGGGAGAGTAAAACAAGCCTGGTGCAATCCACCGTATTAGAACGGTCATCGTTTGCAGAACAGCCCTCATCAAATTGCTCCTTACTGCAAAGACAGCCACGAAGATGTGATTCCATGACTCAAGAAGTCCGATATAGGTAAACCAGGATGAATGCTGCAAGAAAAAACAGTCCCTTAGAAAAATCCCTTAGCACATGTGGCTCAGCGCAGGGTCAGAGAAAGTGTGGGATGTAACCCCCAGTTCAGTTGGCACTTTGAGACAGGCTACCTGGAAAGTGACTCTTGCTTTTCCAGTTTGCACTGTTAGGGCCATTATTGAATTTAGTAGGATGGGTTTACTTACTGGTGTAGTGAAGATCAGCCAGCCCAGCAGTGGAAACACAGGAAACAAAATAGAGAAGGTGAAGCAAAGCGCGTCATGTAGGTCACTGTGCATATAGAGAATTAAATTCACCTAGAGGAAAGCAGAAAAAGTATTTCCAATATTAATGTATTGTTAAAAACAGGCTGCTTGTCACTGATTTGGGTTATTCTGCTGAGTATCAGTGAATTTATAATGAAGCCTCAAGTGGCAAGATGTGTAAATCACACCCTCCAGAGTGAAGATTCGCTTCACTTACCAGAATGAAGATGAGAGACCAAATGTAACGATTGCTTCGCCCCGTGCGAAATTTAAAGGTAATTAAATAGACGAGGAGAACAAGAGATACCCCATAACCGATGACGCAAACGATCTAGAGAGAGACACACCAATATCAGCCACAAGGAGATGGATGTGAACACATGAAAATCCGCCTTGAGCGATCTATTTTGATTAAAACATGGAAAGCAAAAATCTCCCAGCGAAGCGAGGGAAGGGGATTCCCCTCTGCCCGTTTTCCTGTGGGCAAAGAGCTCACCAAGAGCACAATGGAGCTGGCTTGCAAGGGGCAGACGCCGCTCACGAGTAGCACAACCCCGAACATCAGGCACATCAGGATCCAGAAGAGCGGGACGTCCACCAGCACCTGCCCACACCAGTACGCCGAGGGGAAGAGCCCCGCGAGCCGCAGCTGGGCACGAGCCTGGAGCTGGGAAAGCAAGTGGGAAAAGGGACCCGATTCAGGAGAGCCTAAACCATCGTTCCTGCTCCTCCGTCTCCATTACCCTCACTCCTCCCTTCCCTGGCTGAGCCTTCCTCTCCTTTCCAAGCACTTTGAATTCTTTCTTAGTTCTAGTGTTGTTTGAAAACACATAATTCTTTAAAAAGTGCATTCGCAGTCACTTCTTGCATAAGACTGCTTCCAGCACGGGCTTTTTACCTTGTAATCCTCCATGCTGCTCACTGCAAAGTGAGGAGGCAAACCAGCAGCCAGGGTCAGCATGTAGCTGAGACAGAAGAAAAACACATCGTTCTCTACTTCTGAGATTTCTGTCTGTGGGAGAGAAATTCCAAGTTGTCAATAATCAGCAGTTAGCCAGCGAAAATCTGGCTAACTTGTTGCTCATAGGGTGGTTAAACACGCAAGTGAGCAGTAACACTAGTAGTAAATCATTTGGGTTTAAGATCATTTAAAATTTAATTTAGCAATTAAAAAAAAAAAAAGAAAGAAAAAGGCATTTAGCATCTTGGAGTTTGCAAAAAGTATTTGACTGTAAATTGCTGAGGATGGAGAGCATAATTTTGCTGCTGATTCTTGTCAAACGGATGCTGAAGAAACGTGGGGCTTGCAAGCATTACTGTTGCCTTCCTACCGTATTGCCCGAGCTTCAACATCTTAAGGCACTAAAACCCTGCAGAGCTCTTGAACACTGCTGAAAAAAATGCTATTAAATAGCTTCAGTACTGACTTCTGAGCAATCCCCCCATGGGATCACTGCCCCGGCTCCTGGGGGCTGCTCCCCCAAGTTTCGAACCCGTCCAGCCCTTATGGCTTCAGCGTGGCTGTTGCAATCGATTGTCACCGAGGCAGGCGGGATGCTCACGTTGTAAAAGGGGTCGCTCCAGATACGGATGCGGGCAGTGGAGTTGAAGAGCCTTAGGAAGGTGTTGCTGAGGATGTTCACGAGCACGGGGAAACAGTTGATGGGTTCGATGCCACACATGACCGTGAATCGGTAGCTCTGAAGATGGAAGAGCAGAAGCCGTTACCTCCTGCCCATGAGAGGGGTGAGGAGGAGCTGGCCCCTGATATTATTTAATATATCAAATATTCTCCCTTTTCCTGGTGTGTGTTCTGCTGTGTCTCAATCACATTTCATAAAACCCTCTTGATATATAGGATGGAAGAAGGAAAACAATGTCGCTCACCTTGCCTTCCAGGGATATTTTTATAGCTCCGTTATGCAGTGGAATGCTTGTGATGTTTTCCTCAAGACTTATTTCTGGGATTATGTTCTGAGTCTTCAAAGCAGCAATGAAATCTTCAATTTGTGATCCTGAGATCAAGTCAAGAATAGAAATTAGAATAACTAGAGTTACTAGTTTTTTTTGCCTTTGCAAAGCAAAGGTGTGTTAAAAACCCCAAACATTCAGAGTCACAGAATTATACTGAGTTGAAAGGGACCTTAAAGATCATCTGAAATCCAAGCAAACTTATATTTTCTCTATTTCTTTCTATTTTAATTAAACTGGTTGAAAGCAACATGCGTTTCCATGCTTAGTTGGTTTATTGCTTTTTTATTTACTATTTGTGTGGTTCATTACTCTTTTAAATATCAGCTACCAATAATCGTCACTAAAAGTGGATTTGTTTTGCTCAACCAAAACCAACTCCCAAAGCCAACAAAAATACATAAAGGAATGTCCAGAAAGAGTAAGGCAAGGCTGGTCTACCAAACTCTAAGAGGACTCAGAGTGGTGCAGAAAACAAATTAACATCTCATGTTCTTCTTCACCTGTGTCATTGAGGATGAGAAGATTTGTTGACTTGTTTTGAATTTTCTCTTCAGTGGGGAGAAAATACTTGCTAGCCCTGATTTCAAAGTCCTTAAAGCTGTCCAACAGTTGTATTACAAGGAGAATCACCAGCACTGGAAGGATAAATATTCCAAAGAACAGCAGCCTAGATGGAAAAACGGATTAGAAGTAGGTCCAGGGGAATTCCACCTTTAGCATTGAGAATGATAAGAGGAAATTTAAAACTCAAGGAATTCAGATCTCTACCAGTAAGTTCCAACTGTCCTTACTATGCAGCTTTTAAACATATTCTTCCTAATTCTCTGCTTCCAAACATCTCAATCGGTATTTAAATCTTCCCTCAGTTACTCAACGGAATGATCAAACCCTTTGGAAAGCACCAAGCCAGCACCAGGGCTGCAGAGGAGGCGAGATCTCTCAGACTTACATGGACCTGAGAAATTTTCCGTCGTGCTTTAGTTTTAAGAAGCGAACTCTCATTATGGCACACACTTGCTGCCTCCAGAGAGCCATCCCGCTCGCTGCCACCTTCCCCTCTTCGGACAAGCCTGGAAAGCTCCAGTCCTTCTCCTCAAGGTCTCTATCTTCTGCATGTTCATCACAAGAAATATCATTATCCACAAAGGGTGTTCAAAGCACACACTTCAACTGCAAACAATCAACAAGCATCTCCTGTTCGGAGTAAAGGAATGCTTTTATTTGTTAGCCGGAAAAGAAGAAAAGGCAGGAAAGGGGCCATAATTTATCCAGAACATCGTTTACATCAGTGAATTCAGACAGGCTGAACCTGGGCTGGTGTGACAACACACTCAGTATCTTCGCTGGCCTTGTGAAATGCCTTCTGGCTAGTTTGTCTCTTCCCACCGCCTGGTCTGAGCAGCAAACCTTTCAAAGGCAAACATACTTCCACCAGCAGCCTTCAGTGCGTGTGCTTAAAAGCCTGTGAGAAGTCAGGACTAAAAAATCCAGCCTTCTCCGAGAAGGTATTCCTCACTAAAAGAAAGTTGAATAGAGCTGCAACACTTGACCTACCAAAAACCTACCAAAATTCACGTTTAACAGAAGCGTATTAGATATTCAATGAAAACACATGCATATGTGGAACCTTAATTATGAAAATTGGACTTAATGTTTTACCTTCTGGATCGCCGGCTTCCTCACCCTGCAGCTTCAGGAAAACATCTTCCAGGGTTGTCCTGCCAACTTCATAATTAACAACCCCCTGCAAAAGACTGCTCTCGAGATGGCTGAACAGATCTGCACAACAGAAACAACCAGGCTCAGCCCAGTGACCAGGGCTAACGCTGAGCAGAAACTCAGACTGGCGTAACTTATGTTGTACGTTCTAGAGTTCGTGTCATTAATGTCCGGAACTCAAAAGCCGTGTCAAAATTATTGTGCTCTTTAGAGGCGAGCAGTAGAAAACTCCAAGTTCTTGATTGCCTTTCTAGTGGGAGAATGTCATCCTGAAACCAGAGGAGTCTCGGTGGATTTTAGTCTGTAAATTAATTTGTGGATTTTCTTTTGTTCACCTGCATTATTAGCATTAGCACATGTTTGTGCAGCTCTGGGCTTCCTAATCCCACACACCATGGAGCAGGGAATTTAGTTCTTCCCTTCACAGCAACTTCTGCTTTCTGCTTCTCCCACCACTTGTTTTTTCTTTACAGCCCTGGCACAGCGACAAACTTGTCTCACCTGGGAAGCTCTCGGTGTTTTCCAGAGGCAGTGAGTAACACAGCTCACCCTGCTTCTGTCCCTTGAGCGCAGCATCGGGGACGTACTGTCTGACCAGGGATGATGCAAGCTCAGGGTCACACAGGTCATTTATGCACATCCTGCTTGTGTTAAAAAGCAATTGCTATAATATTAAATGAGAAAAAAAAATATATATAAAAAAAATGCATGCGTCATCTTTTCAAAATACAAAGCCAGCAGTTGTTCCTCAGGCCATAAGGAAACCTCCGACACTGAGCAGCATTTCAGTGGGAATTTTTATAGACAGCTACAGTGCTCCCGGGTTTTGCCATGCATGTGTGAAATAGTTGAGGTTAAGAATAATGATCCTGGCCAGTACTGCTAGACCAAGAACACAGAAATTAAAATCCAGAGTAAACCAACTTCATATTAAAGCCGTTGTATGTCACTCTGGCACCACAGAGTGTGTGGGAATTGCAATTCCTTTCACTCCAATCCCCTTTTGGCTGTGAAGGAGGCTGCAAAGTCATTTTAGCTCCACGCTCGGAGCATTCAGGACTGGTTTCCAAAGAAAAGCAGCTTGCTATCCAAAGAAAGATATTTTTGGCAGCTTCAGAAGTCTCCTAAAATGAATTGTCAAGATCTCTATGACTCTATACAGAAATTCTGTGGAGACATAGACTCTACAAGATAATACTCGCATCAGCTAGAAGCTTTTCGTGAAAAGTCACGACCAAAAAGAAAAGGATTTACCTTAAGTGATAGCCAATTCCCCATTTTCTCTTCAAGTAGACAGATGAGCCAACACACTGTAATCTCCCATTTGAGAGGAAAGCTTTCCGATCTAAGGAGGTACGAACACAAAGGATTTAGGGGGGATTTACAACAGCACAGTAGACTGACCTCACTCTGCTCCCTCTGAAGCCAAGAGTCATTTTTGTAACAAAGTCAAGAGGAGCAAAATCAGGCCAGGGCTGAAGATTTTTGTCCTTTTTCAAACTGCCACCCTTCTCCTAAGCATCAAGGTTGATATTTTAAATTTTTTTTAATTTGTGTGGGTGCTGTTCCTGGTGCAGCCAGATAATACGCAACTGCTTCAACCTGAAGCAGAGCACAAGCTCTTGGAGGGGAACATCAGTCCAGTTTTAGCCTTTGCTCAGCCTGGGTTGGGTGGTTGCTATTGGACAAAACGTGTCCAGCAAGCAGAGACTGTGTCATGGTGGGACCCATATATGGGCTCTGCAACACAAAACCCCTTTGTCTGCAAACTGCAGTCAACCACAGCGTTGGTTGGAGCTGGGCTCACCAGCATGAGCATCGGCCTCCTGCATGGACTGGGTGGTGAAG